ATCTATCTATCTATCTATCTATCTATCTATCTATCTATCTATCTATCTCAGTAGCCATTATCTATAGTTCTTCATGTATGGATGGGACCTTGTAAAATTTCTCATGTGCACTGGTTGTGTGTGTGTGTGTGTGTGTGTGTGTGTGTGTGTGTGTGTGTGTGTGTAAAGTAAGCTTATAAAACAATGTTTCTCTTTAGCTTTTTCAAACACCCTTAGTAGTATTTATTTTTTTCTCCTCCTCTTCTTCTTTCTCTGTCTCTGTCTCTCTGTCCCTCTCTGTCTACCCTCTCTCTGTATTACCCTCCCACTCCCACTCATTCAGACCTCTACATTTTCCCATGCCTATCGCCTGTATCCTTCCAGCACCTTCTCCAGAGCTCCTCCTTCCCTCTCTCATCATGATCCTTCCCACCTTTCCTAGTTTCTACAGTTTCTTTGGGTCAAACACTGAAGTCTAAAGATTCAGAAAAAGAATTCACAAATATGAAAGAACATGCAGCATGTCTTTCTGGGTCTGGGTTAGCTTGCTCAGTATAATAGTTTCTAGTTCTAACGGTTAGCCTGCAAATTTCATGATTGTCTTTTTCTCTGCATCTCAGTAGTATTTCAGTGTGTGACTGTATCACATTTTCAGTATTTACTCATCAATTGATAAACATTTAGGCTGTTTCTGTATCCTAGATATTGTGAGTAAAGCAGCAGTGAACATAGCTGAGCAAGTATCTAAGATAGTGAGTCCATTGGCCATATGCCAAGGAGTGGTATAACTGGATGATATGGTAGGTCTACTTTAGCTTTTGAAGAATCTACATCCTTATTTCCATAGAGACTGTACTAGCTTTCAATCCTACCAACAGTGAGTGAACTTCTCCTTTCCCCATCTCTTCACCAGCCTTTGTTGTTGATAGTTTTCTTGATCTTAGAAAAAAATCTCCAAGTAGTCTTAATTTGCATCCCCCTGGTGACTAAAGGTGCTGACTGTTTTAAAAGTATTTCTTAAACATTTTCAGTTCCTCTTTTGAGAATTCTCTGCTCAGAGCTATAGTCCATTTTTAATGGGTCACTTGTTCTCTTGGATTTTTTGGGTTTGCTTGTTTGTTTGTTTGTTTGTTTGAGCCCTTGGTATATTCTGGATATTAATCCTCTGTCAAATGTATAGCTGTCAGACTCCCTCCTATTCTGTGGGCTTCCTCCTCACTCAACTTATGGCTTCCTTTAGTATACCAAAGCATTTTAGTTTTATGAAGGCCCACTTGTCAGTTGTTGGTCTTAATTCCTGGGCAAATGAAGTCCTATTCTGGAAGTCCTTTCCTGAATCTGTATCTTGTAAGCCACTGCTTGTTTTCTTCCAGCAGTTCCAGTGTTTCTGGTTTCACGATGAGGTCTTTGGTGGAGTTTGGTCATGTAGAGTTGATTTGTGTTCAGAGTGATAGGTATGGTCTAGTTTCATTCTTCTACATGTGGAGAGTCAGTTTCCCACTGTCAGTATTTCTCATGACATTGAAACTTTGCGCACCTAAAAGGTGCAGGCCGCTTCAGGACACAAATCCAAGATCATATATACTCATGCTACCATGTGTGGCCTCATGTCCCAAGGTAGGGATTGGTAGATATTGGGATATACCCTGGCTGGATGGGGAAAGGCAAATGTCAGCCTAGGTCAAGAGGTTTAGAGAGCTGAGAAATGAGCTAGCCCACCACAAAAGTGATGACTTCTTCTGACCAATCCCTGGGGTTAACCTGCTACTTCCTCCTTTTCTCAGAGTGCATGCCTGACTTCTTTCTGTACAATGACATGTGCCATCATTCCTGTCCCAAGAACTTCTATCCTGACATGCGCCAGTGTGTCCCCTGTCATAAAAACTGTCTGGAGTGCAATGGTCCCAAGGAGGACGACTGTAAGGTCTGTGCTGATACTTCCAAGGTTCTTCACAATGGACTGTGTTTGGATGAGTGCCCTGAGGGAACCTACAAAGAAGAAGAGAATGATGAATGCAAAGGTAAGGATTTCTGGGCTGCCTGAGTGAGCAAAGAAGGTTGGGAAACCTGTACACACAAAGCATGCTCTAAGGCTGCCATAGTACCCAGCCACAGCTCTCAGAACATTTTTAACTTTCCTGCTCAAGGAAGCAGATTTGGAATGAGAGTTCATTTTTAAAATACATCATTCATAAGCTTTGAGCATGTGAATCTGGCTAGTCACAGATTACATGACCCTACTAATGGCACATGCCCATAGAAAAGGCTTCTCCATGTAAAGGGTTTCCAAGAACAGGTGAGCTTTTAAAGCCTGTCCTTGGGGGTTTAGGCCACCATTGAGTTCATACACTTAGTAAAAGATCCCATGGGGCACTTCCTGCTTGTCATCTCCCTTCCCTCTCTCCTCTCCTCTCCTCATGACCATCCTCCTTATCTTCAGCTCTACCTAGCCCAAGTCCCCATTCATCTTCCATTTGTCACTTCAGTGTCTACATGTTTCAGAAGGGAACTTCTGGAACTGGAAAGCAGCACAGTAGTAAAGGTTTTGCCTAGCCTAAACCAGATCCTGCACTCTACTCTTAGCACTGCATGAAACAATAAAACAAGAAAGGAGATAGGATCTGCAGTTTCCTTAGCACCCTTATTTTCAACTGGGCATTAATCTTTCTCAGTCTGTTTTTGGTTGCCAGGAAACAAAAACAAATTGTCCATTATGAGAGGACTTCTGAAATAGGAGGAAAGCATTCTAGAAGACAAGTTTTTCTAAAGTCCTGGGATGGATTACCTTCTTCCATGAGCCCCTGGGTCTGAACTGGCAAGAGCATTTAAGGGTCTAGACTTTCATCCTGGTCTGTCTCCCCAAACTGCCAGATGCAATCTTCCTATGCCATATAGGCTGGCCTTAAACTAGCCCTCCTCTTGCCTTAGACTCCCAAGGGTTAGGGTTACAAATGTGTGCCACCATACTTGGCTGATTCTATCATCTTCTAGCTAAGTGGCTTAGCATCTTTGGTCCTAAATCCTCAATGCAGAGATAATGAGATGGTGATCCTAACAGTAAAGCCTATCTGTCCAGGGAAGCTGAGGGCATCTTCTGTGTGCTGTGTGCTGCTCCAGGCCTGGAGAGTGGTGCACACAGAACCCTTGCCCTCACAGAGCTCACATTCTATTTGGAAAGGAAGATGCTGAGGACAGTTAGCCAAGAGAAACAAATAAGACAGCAAAGTGAGGGAGGAAAAAGGAACAAGGAGCAATTGAAATTTTAGAGATTGCGGCTGGGCGGTGGTGGCACAGGCCTTTAAGCCCAGCACTTGGGAGGCAGAGGCAGGCAGATTTCTGAGTTTGAGGCCAGCCTGGTCTACAGAGTGAGTTCCAGGACAGCCCGGGCTATACAGAGAAACCCTGTCTCAAAAAAACAAACAAAAAAAAGAAAGAAATTTGAGAGATATTTTATAAAATATCACCAATATAACCAAGGAAAGGCAAAAGCAATCAATGGAGGAAGAAACCTTCATGTGTTCTCAAGAAAAAGATTCCAAGTAGATCGGATGTTGGTCAGCAGAAGCTCTAAGAGTGAACTGTTCCCCCATTGATTGAATGTATCTGCCAAGCAAACCTCTGTTGTACGCAGGCCTTCTCACACTGGCACTGTGCTTTTGCAGTGGGCACCAAAGATGCCCTTTACCTTTGAGCAATTATAATTCACTCCAACAAACTAGTGATTAGATAGAGGTATTATGGGAGATTACGGAAAAACCATGACAACGGGGACTTTGATATTAGAAAGGCCACATGCTGATGTGTGACCTTACTCATAGTGTGGAGTGACCATGAGCCCATACCCTTGGCACAGAGCCCTAGAAGTCTCCAGGAGAAAGAAATTCATTTCTTAGAGGGGTGTCCTAGCAGTGCCCGTCTCTGACCCCTGCTTGTTTGCCTGCCATGCCTGCAGATTGCCCCGAGTCCTGCCTGATCTGCTCATCGGCTTGGACCTGCCTGGCCTGTCGGGAAGGCTTCACAGTAGTGCATGACACCTGCAC